AGAGTTCATTGACCTTTTGCACGCTGTATTTTTCAGTGCTGGGAGCCAAGTTTTGCTGAATTTCAAACTTTCTTCTTTCTTGTTGAAGTTCTGCTATGTTTGCAGATTTCAATGGCTTCCCTGTGCAGTCTAAAATAGTGATTGCTGTTGTTGTCCAGTATTTCAGTATTTTGAAATAGAATTTCATGTCCAGCTTGTTTTAGGGCATCTTCAGCTACTGCCAATTTTTCTGGTTGTTTTAGTCTGCAGTGTCTCTCATGTTCTTTGATTCTGGTGTGGATGCTTCATTTTGTGGTTCCAATATATACCTGTCCACAACTGCAAGGTATCTGGTATACGCCTGCAGTGGTGAGGGGTGCCCTTCTGTCCTTTGCTGACTGTAACATTTGTTGTATTTTTGTGGTGGGCTTAAATACTGTTTGTAGGTTGTGGTTTTTTTCAAAAGTTTCCCCCTGTGGTCCGTGACCCCTTTGATGTATGGCAGAAATGCTTTATTTGTGGGTGGCTGTTTTTCTTCTTCAGTTTGGTGTTGTGTTCTTGGTTTGATGGCTCTTGTGATTTCAATTTTGGAGTAGCCATTTGCCTGTCGGGCCCAATTCACATGGTTGAGTTCAGTGCTGAGAAACTGAGCTTCACAGTTCCGATTTGCATGGTCTACCTACCAGTGTTTTGATTATGCCTCTTTTTTTTACAATGGGTGGTAGTTGGAGTTTTTGTGTAGGTACCGGTCTGTGTGGGTGGGTTTTCTGTAGACCTTGTGTCCCAGTCGGAGGTCAGTTTTGCATACGACCATGACACCTAAGAATGGAAGAATGGAAAAAGAAATAGAGGGCCAACTCCCGTTACAAAAGGCATTTATTTAACATACCTTTTCTACTTGGTAAATGATGATTTTAGGTATATCCATACATCCCTTGTGTTCTTCTGTAGTTTGTTGTAAACCACCCAGAGTAACCATTGGTTAGATGGATGGTAAATAAATAAATAAATACAGTAGGACCCCCATATCTGCAGGATCAGTATACGCAGTTTAACTTACTGACAATCTGAAAATAGTAAAAATATATATTTTTTAAAAATCCAGGGTTTTTTTTCACATATATTGCCAAAACCAGCCACTAGATGGAGGCGGAGACCATGCTATTAATACTTTTTAGTGAAGAATACATCACTATCACCCTCTAATGGCCTGGTCTGGTAATGCATGTGAAAATGTATT